GAGATGGCGGGCGGGGCCGCCATGTCGCGTGCGCCGCGCCCCGACGGCCGCCGCGCCGAGCGCTGCCCGGGGCTGGCGCCGAGGGGCAGTTGGGAAACAGGGACCGAGGGGCAAAAATAAAAAATAAGTGAAGAAAACGCTTCGGCAAAATGTTAGGAAACGAGTAAGAAACTTCTCCTTCAGCCCCTGCGTGTTCCTTTGGGGTGGCCGTATTTGGGGCTGCGGTGTGGCGGGAGGCTGCCAGACTTAATACTTAGCGCGCTCTGGTTATATCTGAGTGCAGCTTTGTGGCCTTTTTTTTTTTTTTTTTTTTTTTTTTTTTTTTTTTTTTTTTTTTTTTTTTTTTATCTCTTGATCAAGAGTTCAAGAGAGCTTCAAAAATATCTGATGTTGCCAAATAATAATAATAGATCATAAATCGTCCCACCCTCCCACACACACTTGTTAAAGAAAAACAATGGCAGAGAAATGTTAAAACTTCACTACAGAAACTCCTATAAACAGGTCAAGGTATTTGCCACCTCTAGAAAACACCCTCTCACCTGTCAGTACAACGTGGAATCATAGAGTGATTTTGGTTGGAAAAGCCCTTCAAAGCATCAAGTCCAACCCTAAGCCCATCACCACCCTGCCTGCCAAACCACGTCCCTGAGCGCCTCCTCTACACGTTCCTTGAACACTGCCAGGGATGGTGACTCCACCACTRACCTGGGCAGCCTGCTCCAATGCTTCACTACTCTTTCCGTGTAGATTTTTCCCCTAAGTAGAGCCTCCCTAATATCTAACTAGAACTAGACATGGTGCATGTCTCCTTCCCAAAATACTTGTGTGCCCACTTGCAGCTGCTTTGGGAGGAGGATGGGGACAGAGGCAGATGTGGAGAATGAGGCCATCCTGCGTCCTCTGGCAGCTTCCGCAGCTCTGCTCCCATTTAGTAAGTCGAGAAACGTGCATCGTGGTGCAGTGCCGTTGCCACGCTTCCTCCCCAAACCTGTCACTAGCAGTTTACCTGCTCTTTTTTGAAGTCCTTCCGAGGTTTTTCTGACAGCATTTGGGTTGGTTTGGTGACCTGTGCCATTTCACAGAGCTGCGCTATGGAGAAATCCAACAGTTAAATCCCTGCAGTCAGGAGGGTGGAGAGCGACTAATGAGCCAAGGTGGGTAGGGTGAACACAGGTCATAACCTCCTAACGCCGCCCAGCAACAAGGGCAGTAATGCCTTGGACGGCACTCTCGAGGCAAGGTGCAGGAAGCATTTGGGTGAAATCAGGAATTTTCTGTTCTCTTGCTTATCCTGTGGGACAAGTTCTCCTACCTGGCCATAGCAGGGAGGTAATGGTAAAGATGTAGGGGAGTCTTTAGAAGAGACTTTCTTTTAAAAGTGGAAAGGGTAGAAACAGTGGAGGATAAAAACCTCCCTTTAAAAATGCCTCTTTTTTTTTTTTTTTTTTTTTTTTTTTTTTTTTTTTTTTTTACCATAAATGTTCGTTTCAGTGGGGGATCCGAGTGCACGGAAGTATGGATGAGGTTAATTAAATAAACTCAAGACTGGCAAGACTCGAAGCAGATGACGAAACCTGTAGAGAAGAAAATAAAGAGCAGAGGAGGAGGGAAGGGAAGCTTATTTAAAGTTACTTCTCACAAGGCAGTGGTCTGAAATAAGGCAGGACAAGCTTTCTCCTTGAGCAGTCAGGTTGCTGACAGTCTGAGGACTGAACTGTAGCTCCTCTTTTAAATCACTAGAAMAATTTTAAGGAAAGGGGTCAGCTCCAGTAACTGTAACTCCATTTAGCAGTATGCTTGGAAGGGCTTTTCTGAGTGTTTTTATTGACACATAAGCAAAGCTTAGTGCCTGTGGCAGGAGGAGGTTTGCGGTCTGGTGCTGGAGGAGATGGGCTCCACAGGTCTGCTCAGGAAATTCCTGTTTGCCGGTGTGGGAGTGAGCTGCTCCTGCAGGGACACATAAGCACCATGGCTGATAGAGCGACAGGGCTGTAGGAACGGGCAGTACCTGAGCTCCTTACACTGGAGTGTAACAAATGTAAAGATGAACAAGAAGAGAGTCAAGCGCGAGAGTACAAGTTCATTTATTAGTTGTAGCTTTTCAAAAAAACAAAAGAAACTTATTGAAGACATAACCTTAAACTGTCATGGTTAAGTAGTGGGTTTTGTGCAAAGCAAAAAATAGCTACTGCTGCATGAAGCAAGCAATTGGTCTGACAAATGACTGCTCCTATTGAAAGTGATACTTAAATAGTAATGACTGCATATTACATAAAGGCAAAACCACATTTTAAGTAATATCATTTGCAAGTGAATTGTAATCTCTGGGTGGTGTACAGAAGACAAGAGTAATTTTTCAGAAGTTTCTGCTATGTGACAGTTGTATTTGTTTGCCAGTACTGCACTGCAACACCTTTCCTTAGGTAAGTTTTGCCAAAGAGAAAGGTTTTGACTATTAGATTACAACAGGTTTCCTGTCATAACACTTGATACCAGCCACAGGAAAGCCCCTATTTTGTGCACCTTATTCCTCTGAAAAGTTCTTGCTCAATGAGGATGTCTTATTAAAATAATGGGGAATACGAACCAGTATTACTTAAACAAGTGATGCTTTATACAAAGGTACAAAATACTTTCCTCTAGATCATATCCTGTTCAACTAGCTTTGCCTTTGGAATTATTTTAAAAACCTTCTGCCTTTCTATCTGTCTGTCTTCTGGAGAGTGGACACTAATCTAAGGAAAAGGAAGATTTTGGTAGGATAACTCAACCACAATGCACTATGGTGCATATTATTCTGTAAGTGATAGTGGAATGGAGAGGTACTGAGGTAGTTGTGAGTGGAAACAATTCAGTGGTTCAGCAAGAAGCTCAGTTCAAAAAGGCTAAATTGTCTGGAAAAAAAAAGAAAAAAACTTTTTTTTTGTATAAGCAAATGCCCATGGGGATAATAATAATAATAATGGAATTGCAGCATGATTCATTAATTTGCTAACAATGCTTCTAAGATTTTCCTAGCATTACTTCTCCTGTAGCTCAGACCCACAACCAAAAGATGTGAATGAAGTGTTCCCTGAGAACCACCAGTTCTAWTTTTAACATGAAGCTACTGCTTCAGATAAACCACAGTGAATTTTTGACGAAAAGAACTTCTCTCTCTCTTGAAAGAGTACTGACTTAGCTCACAGCGTTACCTTACATGAGTCTGGCCTTATATGAGAGCTACTGTATGCCAACTAGCTTCCTCATGTCTTTTTGTCCACCATTCAGCTCTCAGACAAATGCTTGCCACCAGAATGGCACAGATATAGTTTAGAAAATYGGGGGTAGTTAAAGACTCCACTTGTAAACAAAATTGTTCATCAGTTTGGCTCCTCCCTGATGCTGTATGAAAATAGATAAATTAGCAACCTTCATCCAGCTCAGAGAGGTGTGATGAGTCTGTTCTTTGCACTTAGATAGACACAACATATATATAAGAAGCTGGGGGAATATTTGGAGCAAAAGGCAGAAAGCAAAACCATCTCCAAGGCTTTGTAATTCCCATGCCAGATTAGCAGCAACAGGCGGAAGAACCTCACTCGAAGACACCAGGTTGAGGTTCCTGGCATCCCCCAGATCACTGTGACCTCAGGCGAGCTGCCTGGAGGCTCCCAGCCTCATCCCAATCTGCCAAGGTCAAGGATTGGTCAGGACTCGTGTGCTGTAGTGCAAAACACTYGGGTTGCCTTTGGTAGTCAACTGCTGGTGTTCAAGGTGATGCAGAAGCTTCAAGGTGGTGCAGAAACTGCCTGGCTTTGCGGCGTGCAGCAAACTGCAAACAAGCCCTGCTCTGCAAGCATGGTGGTACCGCTTCTGCATACTGTCCCAAACAGCTTTTAAACTCTGTCAGTTCTGTATAAAACTGAAAAGAGGAGTGAGCAGAGGTGTACAGTGTGTAGAGGACACACGGAGTCCTGCACCCTGCGCTGCCTTTATGGGGTGGAGTTGCCCTTGGTGGCTGGAACCAGGCAGGAGGGGAGGTCTGGCCTCTCTTGCTCCGTGCCCTCCCTTTCCCTTGMCCCTTTGCCCGTGTCTGTAGGAGGCCCTGTGATTGCTTGGTACTGGATTCTGGTGCTAGTCAGACTCTGCATTGAGCCAGGTCAACTCACCGTCTCAGAATAAAAGTTTATACGTGTTTATTTATTTGTTTATTTTCTCCTAGGACTAGTGAGTTGAGCAGACAAAGCTCTTGGTACAGGGCCAGTGCATGGGAAGGAGAAGGAAGGGATGAGAGGAGTCATGAGGAAAATTACTGTTTTGATGGCAATGAATATTTAGATCTCAGCTGTCTCACACTTTGCAAGCAAGCAGGAGTGGTGCAGAAGGGACCTGCAGCCTCACTRCAAATGACCCTATTCTGAAGAAGTGGCTTAACCCTAAGGAGAGAGCCTTAGACTAGGAAGCAGGTGCCACTCCTCTAATTCTGAGTTTGCCCGTAATCCATTTTAGGACATTGGACATMTGACTCTGCTTCTCTCTGGCCGCTTCCTCTTCTTGAGCTGGAAATAGCAACCCTGATCTCTCCTGCAGAGTGTGCTCGTGTCTGTGAAGGAAAGGTGCCGTGTTGCTTCTCCCACCGTTTCTAGTCCTGCTTGAGSAATGTGGGCTCCTAGTGGGCCTGCRTGTGTGTGTGTGTGTGTGTGTGTGTGTGTGTGTGTGTGTGTGTGTGTGTGTRTGTCAATGTGCTCCCTGAAGGACTGTCCCCTGAGATTGCCTGCATCCCAGCAGAGCTTGTGCTGAGACCGTATTTCATGAAAGTAGGAGCAGCATTCCGGTTTGGAACAGGATCCAGTGCAGCCACCTTGAGGGATGCAGTGGCATTAAYGGCACACCTCTGGCACGGCTCCCGGGATCCTCTCTTTCCTGCTCTGCGTGAGCCCAGAGAGGAGGGATGGAGCTGGGGGTTGTTCTGCTGCACGAGCACTTGGGCGCCCGGGTTGCACCAGCCGCGCTGAGATGCCGCCCGCCTCGTGTGCGAGTCCTTGGCGCTGGGCACTGCACACCTAAATACTTTGCAAATRCTTTCCCTTCGTTTCTCTGTCTCTCTGTCTTATCTGAAAATGGAGTTTTGAGATTCCTCTGTCACACAGGAATCATGTGGAAGAAAAGCATGTGCTAAGATAAATACCAAAGATAAGTTAAGACGGTGATCTGAAAATCAACTGAGTGGGAACTGAAAGTCAAGAGCCTTTAGGAGGCTAAGAAAATCCTGGTCTTCATTTCATGACTCGGAATAACAAAACTCTTATTTTCAGATGTGGGACCAAACAACTTTTCCTTGTTATTTATCTGAACGGAGAAGATCTGTTTTCAGTTACAAATATACGTTTGCATTAGTTCTTTTGCAATATGCTGTACATCCAGACTGGTTCTTAAATGATCTCCCTTCTTGCCTGAAGGCCTCCAACTCCTCTATCAGCTAAACTACTGRCCACTGCTGTTACATCCCTCCATGTGCACGGAAAGCACAAAGGAAGCGTCTTGCATGGGAAGTTTTTATGATGTAGTGGTTCTGCGCCACGTACTCCGTGCAGTTGGATTTTCTGGGCGTTGGTTCCAAAGCATTTTCCTTCAGAAGGAATCTGTTGCCCTCACTAAGGGCTTTACAGGCTTCGGCTAATGCTGAACTCCCYGAGAGGTTCAGTATCCTGAGTGTTGTGCATGCCAGCGAACAGTGTAGAAAGCAAGTGGAAGTGAAAGACTGGAAATCAGAACAGCAAAGAAGCAGCACCTGAGGGTACCCATTGCTACCTGGAAAAATAAATCCCGCCTCAGGTACTGCAAAGATGTCCTATCAGACACCACACAGCAGCTTTCTTTGCTGGCTGTATCTGCCTGTTGCGGAGAGTACGTGTGTCAGTTTGATGCATAAGGTCCCGCTGCCATCCTTTTAGTAGAGCTCCTTTGTCATCGTTAGTGTGGAAACAGGGTAAGCGGTGAATGTCTTGCAGGTGAAAGCTCTTGCACAGCACCTTGGATTAAGCAGAGAATGCGTCTAACTGAGCTGGCAAAGACCAGCAGGCACTACAGATTTCACAGAGAACCTGTATTCAGTTTATGACTGTGTTTTAAACTGCTCCCTCTCTCCCTTCCCTTCCTATGTGTGCCCTGTGTGACAGGAAAGCTTTGTGTTTGCTTCTTGTGTATTTCTTTCTTCTTATTCCCTTGATGCCTCAGGGAGGTGTTTTCTGAACCATTCCAGTTCGTCAGCCGCTGCTGTTTCGTAATTAGGAAAGGCTTGTTCAGCACACAGCTCTGCCAGGTTAGGCCAAGAACACTCACCTACAAAAATAGAAGAGGGCTTTTTTTTGTGTGTGTTTTGGTGTCAAGTTATGTCACAGCCATCAGGATTTTGCAGTAATATTTTCCTCATTTCTAAAAAGGAGATCTGTTGCTGCTGTACAGCAAAACAGTTTCTGCCACACCGTGAGTTGTGGTGAGCTCCTGACTTACATCCATCACAAGAAATCACATTAGCAAAACCTGCTACTAAAACTGTGTAACCTAAGCCCAGGCTCCCTAATGAGACATCCCTGCTTCTCAGACCTGATGCCTGCACCTGACAGAGCAACGTGTTTGGCTGACGGCCGACGGCGTCACAGCCGCACCGGGAGCACAACAGCAGCTCCCTGCTCGGAAGCACAACAGCAGCTCCCAGCTCCGGGAGCCGCCTCTGGCCGCTCTTGGGGACCGGCGAGTCCTCCCGCTCGGATCCGCTGCCGGGAGGCAGCAGCTTTGCRGGAGCTTTAATGTAACAACCTCATTTTAGCATCAGAGGAGCCTTTAGTATGGCCCATGTAGTGGAAACACACTTGCCTGTAAGATTAGCAATGGAAATTGCATCTTAGGAAGAGCGTGAGTACTTAGCAAACTGCTCCTGGCCTTAATCAATATAGGTAACTGATTTCAATTAATTTGTTAGCTAATTAAATTAAAAAAAAAAGATACACAGGATTTGCAGAGCTAGGTTGTTAGCTCCTATTTGGCTTTGGCCAGTAGTGACAAATGTTATCAAATGTATTTCAGATCTGCTCGGAGTGACCTGGCATTTTCTCTTCCACAGGTAGGACAAGCTCACCGCTATCGTAAGACCGTTTTTCACAACCTGAAAGCTGTCAGTTTGAGCGGGCGCTGTTGTTACACCCACAGCAGAGGCTTCTTTCTTCTCAGTGCAGTTTTTCTGGTTAGGAAGTGCAGCTGGCCACGGCTGCGTGTTTTGCATGGTGAAAATCCCCTGGTCTTGTGCTGCTCCCGTGCTGCGCCACGCGCAGTCTCCGTGAAGTCCTTCCCGTGGGGCCGCCCTGCCCGGCGCTGCTCTGCTCTGACTTGTCCTGACTCACTTGCCCCACCTGTCCTAGAAGGCCGTATATATACGCAGTAAATATAAGATAAGAGAAAGYCGAGCCTCAGCACAGCAGCAGTTTATTCCTGCATATTCTCCTCAGTCCTCCCTTATTTTTTCCAGTTCGCAGTGGTTCCCGCCGCTCCTGCAGTGCCTGTGACAGTTTGGCTATTCAAAGAGAAGAAAATACAAACGTACCTGAAGAAGCAGCTCCCCGGCACGCAGGGTGATACCGAAGCGCCCGCAGCCGCAGCGAAGCGGAGGAGAGATGGAAYGGGACGTCCAGGAAAGCGCTGGCTCGGCTCACGTGGTGCCGCACCACCGGGCAGGCCGGATAAAGGCAGCGAACGTGTGCGTCTGCACAGGCAGCAGGGGACAGGCAGTGTGCTGTGGTGTGTGCTTTTGCCTTGCTGTGCTCTCGGATTTGGCACGCGGAGACTCTCACGTTGTGGGGAGGCCTCATTTTTCATCTGAATTTGCAGTAGACATTTATTAAAAAAAATAAAATAAAAAGGCAGATAGACTATTGCAGCAAAGCACATTTTGCAAAGTGAACTTACTAATACTGCAAAGCAGAGTATTGTTTTGCTTGCTTTTCTGAAAAATCCCTACATTTCCAACAGGGACATGTACTTACCTTTTGGAAAACGACTCTTCTTGTCTGCTGCTCAAGAGCAACCGTGTTTGCTTTCCTGCCAGTTTATCCCCCTGTGCAGAGAAACCAGCCTACAATTAAGCTCTAGCAGAGGCAGGCTCACCCCRATGAAGGGGTTGGTTTCCTCTGGTTAAATACGACTGGGTTTATTAGTTTCTCCTCCAGGGCTCTCTGCCAGGCCCCTGCGTGGCCCAGGGCTGCCATCCAGCCACATGTCCCCCTCAAGGTGTCTTTGCAGCAACAGGAGTAACACAGACCATCAGCAGCTTGTGGGTGCAGAGCGGGGCCGTCTGCGTGACCTGCTGCCACGGGGGGCTGAGCACGCGAGAGAGAGACCCAAATGGACCAGTCCTGGTACTTCACATGGGCCCGGTTTAACATTGCCTTGCTCCTTACTCTAGTGATAGAGCTCATCTCTGGCTGTGCYGTGAGCAGAGAGTCCTGGGGGGGTCTCGGAAACGTGGCCTATGAAGAGACACTGATAGAGTATCTGAAACAAATCCTGATCCAGATAGGAAGGGAGAGACACAACACTCTGTGTTCTCAGTGGGCAGGACAGTAATGGGCTAGATAGCATCAGAAGAGGTGAAGATTGCCCACTAGGAAAGCTTTGAAGTGATAAATAGTTAAATGGGGATTAGATTGTCTGAGGAGGCTGGAATTTCCCCCAGTGACAGTTTGGAGGAGCAGGTTGGGCGAAGCTTTGTCGGCAGTTTTGCAGGTTGTACTGGTCCAAACCTGGAGCTGTAGATTTCCTTGGTCTCTTCCAGTTCTATTTGCTATGTTTGACTGTATTACAATAATACTTTGGCTCTAGGTGGGCTAGGGACCCTGTTACTCTTATAGACTGTATTTAAAAAAATAAGTTAAAGGACATTTTCATCATTTAGAAATGCGYTTCTCGTCTCTGCTGATCTCCATTGCATACTTTTTGATGAGGTTAGGATAGTCCTAGAATGCTCTGTAAAGAAAAAAAGGATTTGCATGATACTTTTCACTGTAAACATACAGAAAAAAAAATAGTATTTTATAAATCATAGCTGTTCCCCTATTGACATGAGAGGTGAAAACACCTCCCCTGTGTTTTCCCATCATTGACGCAAACAAGTTAGATGTCTGCTCCTTCTCTTTGCTTAGTTTTCCTTTAGAGAATTATTAGGACCCTTCAGAGGGTTGTGGTAGGTATCCGATGTCTTGAGAGAGTCTTTCTGGGTGGGACGGGGCTTTTACTAGTTTTAGGAAGAACCAAACCAGGACTTGTCTTTCTAAAGTTCTCCCACATCCTGCCCTTAATTCATCAAGTCTTTTTGTTTTAGAAGCTGTGAATTTTCTCCCACCCAGAGTATGAGCTTTGAGCTTTTGTTTGCTTGTTGATTTGTTTGTTGGGTTTCTCTGTAGGTCAAATGTTCCAACTTTATCTCTTGCCAAGAGCTCTGTATAAGAAGTTGACTGAGACCTTTTTCTCTATGCATAAGAGCATGAAGTTCTCAAGGAAACTTCTGCATTCCTTACTGGCTGTTGCAAATTGGAAACATGGAGAGCTATCGATCCGAGTGCCTTTCGTGCTGATTCAGAAAGACATCCACTTGGGTCCCTGTGAGCCTGGTTGTGTCTCCCTCACACACCTTCACTTTGTGAGGATGGTGAGGTGCTTCCTTGTTTTTAGGACTCTGGAGTCTCCCAAAATATTTTTGGATGCACAGTTTTCCCATGGTTCTGCCTACAGCTTGTTTTGTGCTCCAKATCTGCTAAGGAGACAGCCTGTTAGACATCTGCTGCCGTTAGACCTCATCAGGTTCTTGCTTGGTAACAAGCCACTTGGTAAAGTAATCTGTGAGTAGTGATAAATGCACAGTTTGGTCTGGAGGAAGCCAGCTCTACACAGACTCATTTTTCTCTCATTTTTCTTTCCAGCAGAGGAAATTCTTCCTTTCATGGCCCAAAGTACAAAGTACTTTTTTTTTTTTTTTTTTTTTTTT